CAACAGAAGAAATATTGGATATGTAGACTAGATTTAAGATAATTTTACTTGACAAGATACTATTTGTGCAGTGTAGAAGTTTAGTAATTCCAAAGTTTAGATCTCAGAAGTTTAGAAATTAGAAGTTTACTGAATTTTAAGGCAAACAGGTTACTAACTTTTTTACGTAAAAACACAATCATTTTTACAGTAATTTACTGCCTCTTATAGTAACTCTGCTTTTAACTGATAAACTTTTAAACCACCAAGGCAGATGTATTTGCATGGTTTTTTTACACATTTTTAATATTATTTTTATTGTTAAACTTTTTCATTGATGTCTTCATCACAGCAATGCTCAAGACCTTAAGGTATTTATATGATTATCACTTCATAACAGACTTTGTTTTATGAGATCAGACTCATTATGTCATGATAATGGCACAGATATCTTGAGATCCTGAGAAAACAACATTCATTTTGTTGCGATAATGACATAAATAACTTGGGATTTTGAGAAAAAAGATGATAAGGACTTATCATGGAAAACAGCCGTCCATTAGCAAACTTAAGAATGTAAATAATATAAAGAATTATAACAGTGTGGTGTTAAAGTACATGCTAACAAGATCTCCCTGCTTGGATAGTTTCTGATTAGGTACAGTGTAGATGCAGTTTTTTGAATGTTTGACCAAAAGGCTAAATTAGGCTTCAATAAAGCGCTTGTGTTCCACTGACATTCTTCTGTTAGTGACTCAGAAGGTCTGTTGTGAGCTTTTCTCTCGTCACGTTCAGTAACAGTAGCTAAAAGCATTAATCACACAAGCAAACATACACGTGCACACACACACACACACACGCACACACACACACACACCTACACCTACTTACCTCAAAACCTCTCCTAAAACTTCTAGATGCATTCAGTCCAACTTCCCTGCCTGGCCCTGCTTAAGAGGTAAGACATATTAAAACTATTCTTTGGTGGAATATCTGAGTCAAAAGTGTAACAACTGTGCTAGTAAAAGAACTAGTGCTAATAATCGAACGCACCACAGTCAGCCTTGGTCAAATTAGCTTTGCTGCACAGATTTGCATTTTCTAAGACTTTTTAAGCAATCAGAAAATTACATTCAAATCACAAGCAAGCAAGTTGTGTTAAAGGTAAGCTGTGTAAATTACATGAGGGTGTGCCGCTGTGAACTGATCAGAGGGCTCTGTCCTTGGTATTACTATTATTGCTCTAATTATTGATAACATCACTAAGCTCTGTAAGCACATTGTGTATCTAAACGTATGACTTTTCATGATTACAGAAGATAAACACTTTATCTGATCATCTGTAGAACTGCTTTAATGATAACCGTTATAGTGCCTCATTTATAGTCTGACATAAAATCAATATTTGCCTTTTCCACCTCACCATGGGAATCATCTGCAGTGGGCTGAATAGTAAAGTTTTCATTAAAAAATGTGATTTATCATATTAATACATTGAGTTATACATTAACACCCTTGCGTAAATGATTGAGGTCCATTAGGCTTGGCTTAAGAAGAAAAGCACTGAGCAGTAACCTTTTTCTGAGGATAAAATTAGACGTCCTTTCTGAAGATTGATAAGGAAATGTGTAGTCTAAAATTGTTTATCCAGCATATCTTTAATTGAGCCTTTCCTTGTTTAACTGTATTGATTTAACCTACTCCACTTTTGCTGTACTATATTAGTGTTCACTGTTTACTTCCAGTAATAGAACATGCTAGACTGATGTTGACTCATTTTAAATCTACAGTGAGCTGCTAAAACTTCTAGAGAAAAGGTTTGATAATGCCCCCCCCCTAAAAAAACAAACACAAAAAAAATAAGCAAATGTTGAAATGTTAGACATAAGGTGAAACAAATACTGTGTGCCTATGTGAATCCAAATATAATGACTTTCAACGGTTTTGTGTTTTACTCCTGTTAATTATGTGAAATAAAAATATAATGCCAAAATACACTCCTCACCAACTTGTTGCTAACCTCACTTTTGGTGAATGAGCTCTTGGTAATCAAAATTCCTTCTTCAGCCAATAAGTTTGTGGTCTTATTTTTGAATTGCTCAACACAAATGTGGTTCCTCAAATCTGATCTGATGGTATTAACTCTGGTCACTGTTTATTTAAAGGATAATGGTTTGGTGGTGGTAAAAATTAAAGAACAAGTATGAAGAGTGGGAAGAGTATATAAAGTGTTTGTTTAGTTTAACTATGGTAGTAAGAAAGATAATATTGATTCTTGGTGAACTATATGCCACTTTACATACTGTTACACTATTAAATACCTTGCTTCATTCTTGCCTTTTAACTGACAAAAATATTTCCAAGTGGAAACTGGTTGCTGTTTGGGTCCTGTATTCTACATTACCCTTTTACTTTTTACTGGGCTTATGAAAAATTAGTACGTTTTCCTAATTTTTATGAAGTTTTCATAATTTTCAGGCTACTAAGATCAGAGAACTGCTAGTTTTAATACTTGCCATGCTGGACTGGACTTTACATCCAGTGGTCTTGTTATAGCTGCCTAAACATTTAGCTCTTCACTCCAATAATGGCAAAAACAGTTCTTCCCCATTGGAATTATAAGGTTCTATCTGACATTTTTGTCAGAATTAAGTTATTCCCATTTTCTTATACTGTGACAATTTTGTAACATTATGTGAGTTTATGGAACTCTTTATCTAGAAAACAAAAAGGTTCTATCTCAAAAGTCAAACCCTTACTTAGTTCTATGAAGTTCTATTTGCAAGCCAATCAGCACTTTGAGTACACACAAGAGGACCAATCAGGTTGTGCTACCTTGTCATGTCACTGCACTGCTCAATGACTGTGGGAAAAGTTTATAAAATTGAAATAAAACACTGCCTGTCTTCATGCAGTTCTAAAAAATCTTATTTTTAATGTTTATCATGTTCTTTAATGTTCATATTAAGCCTTAAAGGTAATTAAACAGTTTACATTTTAACTGATGGGGTCTTAACTACAATATGAACATTAGTTTCGTTCATTCATCCATCTTTTCTTTTCTTCTTTCTCCCAAAATAAAACATTTTGGTGCAATACAGTCACATTTCTGACATCAAACAAAACCTCATACTGCCTTCAGATTGATCTGTTACACTAACTTGCTGGACAGTTTATTACAGTAGCTGGTGGGTTCCTACCTAAAACTGATTTTGCACTGAACAAAATATTTAGCACTGACCTGCATACTGAATCTGCAATGCTGTTTTGAATAAGAAAAAAAGATGTTTTTTCCTAAAACAAGACATAAGTTTCATAAAAATAAATAAATAAATAAATAATAAAATTGATGTCATTAAATGTCATAAAAAGCATTAAATTTAACTTTCTGATACATGTGGACACTCTGTTACACACTAATTTCATGATTTAAAACAAATTACAAGTAAACTGTTTGCATTCATTGCTTCTTCTCACGTTTTGCCAGATAGAATTTTATAATTCCAAGCAGAAAATGAGTTCTTAGGCTTAGAAGGTTCTTTCTGTATTTGACCTGTTCCAAAAAACTAATTTACAAATTTGATGGGATTTTGATATTGAACGTTTAGAATAAAATTAGGGTGTCTGTCTTTTTCATGTATGAAAGATATGTGTTCCACGTATCAGCTTTGCTATTTGGAATGCAAAATCTTTGAAGCGCAATATTTCAAAACTTCTCAGAATGCAGACACAACCTTATGATTCCAAGGAGATTAGTGCATGGTCATTGCAGCAAAGAAAGTAAGTGGAAAAAGATTTCAGTTGGAGATTTAAATTTAAACAGAAGTCTAGTTAGCCTTTTCTGGACAAAAGCAATTACTGTGCTCTTAATATCTGGAGAAACATTTACAGCCCTAATAAATGCCAACCAGCCAGCCATATACTCATTATCAATACAATCAATTCTTACATAAAGTTTATGTGGTTAAAATTTTATACTGTGAACAGATAACACTGACCACTGGCCATATACTTGTATATGCCTGTATATAGGCCATATACCTGTATAGAGGTTAAAACTGTGCTCAAAAAAATGAATCCATTTTTCTCAAAGTATAAATATATAAAAAGAGGGATCAGGGTGTGACATGGTAATAGATATACACAATAAACAAATGAGGAAAAATCATTACTATGGGAAGACACTGATGAAGCAGAACTGCACTCTATACAGTAGTATACTGTTGAGCTCTACATTAATATCTTGAAAAGAACTTAATGTGGACTTCACACACCTTTACAGGAAGTATGTTTAGCATTATCCCCACAGACTGTTGGTGAAGTCATGCAGTACAGTCTATTCTGGATTTTGCTCTTGAAATTGCTGATGGTGGCTTATGGCATCCTTGCTCTTTTCTCAGTTAACCAAGTTTTAAAATAACTGAGGTCTTTACAATGTGATTAAAGGAAATAACTGTGGACCATGCATGCATGCATTAAAATAAATGCATTAATTTCTCTTCCATTGTTCTACTATAACAATCCTACTGTTCTACTGTCTAGCTGGAAATTAAGGTCAGCTTGGCTCTTACTAGGTTAGCCTCGTGTCGTCAGTGCTCGTTGACAGGCCAGTGTCCTCCTAGGCCAGTGATTCTCAGCCCGGTCCTCAGGGCCGTCCATCCACTTCTCAGGCCCTGCAGATAATCCACATATTTGCTCTGTCCCAGCTCACACATCTGATCCAGGCCATTAAGACAATTGCAATGCCTAGCACAGGAGCTAGGTGTGGACAGCTAGGCTAGAGCAAACTGTCTGAGCTGAGGACAGGTTTAAGAATCTTTGGCCTAGGCGACCAAGACCTGTCCAGCCAAAAATCAAGGTTACCTTGGTGGTAAGTTGACACCCTCAACTTTTCCATCAAAGAGCTGATCACACTCAGATCTTTAGACCTGCCATAAAGAAGGCCTTGAAAAAACAAGACTCACCCTTGTAGTCAAAACAACGGCAAGTTTTTGTGCTTCCATGAAGATAGCAACTCTGACCTTTCATGACCATTTGTCGTGTTCCTCATCAGCTGGTTTCTGACATCCTCAGTTCTGAAGGATTTAAGACGTGTGCAGGATTCCCACCTTAACTACTAATGAACACAAGCTTATTAATACAATCCTGGTGGGTAGGCCCTGATAACACTATGTTCTAGACAAAATCTGTGCTGTTGGTTTAGTATGTTCAGTGGCGTCATGGAGAGAACAATCAGTAAGGTCTGGTGCTTTTCAAGGACACTGGTCCCAGTTCGGTGCTGATAGTCATGACCTCCATAAGGACCTGTTCCATAAGGACATTCTGGATATGGGACATTTTTTTGTGGAATAGAAGAGAGCACAAGGAAAAAAGGCAGATCCTGTATCACCATGTATATGTAACACACTATAAGGAAATTACTGTGAGACAGAACTAAATTGGAACAGCACGAAACATATGGGACACTGAGGGGGCACTGAGGACTGGGTGGAGGATCTTGCATGTAAACATAATCAGATGTAAAGAACTGCAAAAGATAAAAAATAAATAAATAATTCATAATAATGAATTACTAAGCCGCAACAATCAGCCAATAGAGCACGGTAACCTTAAACCTTAAAACACTGGGGTGGTTTTAGTTATCCTGTGCGTCAGTGGGCCCTACGAAAGCTTCTACGTAAGAATGTAAGTCATCTTACAGCCCATTATCAGGGGTTTTATCTGGAAGAACAATGGTCAAGGAGATGGGGCCCATAAATGAGGTATTGGGCCTGCTGTTAATAATTACAGGCTCAGGACATTTATTGGTGGAAATATTCTGAAAGAGCGCAGATAAACTCAGAACTTCCTAAAGAAGTGGAGGGAGGAGAATCACTCAATACCTGCAGTGATAACATAGAACTACAATTCAAAAGTATTCCAGGTAAGGTGAGAATATTATATTTGTGTTACATATGCTGCCTGATAGTGACTTTTAATGATACATTTCAGTATATTTTAATTCTTTTCTCACATCATTTTTTAATACATCAATAAATTATAATGTAACTGTGTTTAACCTACCATTAAGAAAAATGCTACATGTATATTATATAAACTTTAAATATTAATTTCAAAATACTTCTAAAACTGTATGCAAAGTTCTGTAACAGTCTGTATTTCAGTTGTCAGTTTGTATGTTGTGTGTTCACTTTTTCATGTGGTTGATGTGGTCAGCTGAACACGCTTGCTGCTTTACTGCGTGGCTCGCTTTGAGAGACTGCACAAATTTAATTTACAACAGAAATGACCTAACTTAGTTAAACCGCACCAGAACAGAGCTGCACCTTTTGTTGTGCTGCCAGCTTATTGAACTGTCCTGTTTATAATACAGTGATCAAAAGATTGCAGGATTAAAGGGTAAATCAAATGAGATTGATGGGCAATAGAGGTATGTCTGAGTGACCCGTTCTTTTAAAACAGGGGTTGAGGACAGGCCTCTTCTACACAAATCTTGGAGCATTATCATGAAGTAAAGCACAGGGCAAAGCATCAAGTACTGCATGACTTTATAAGCATAAAGATGAAACAGACAAGATCAACTATTAGCAAAAAAAAGATACTTCACTGCACCGTATAGAACAGTTTATTAAAAGCTTCTTTAAAAAATGATAATCATTGCCTTTACCAAGGAACCACTGAAGAACCCTTATTTTGAAGAGTGCATGAGTCTAAACCACTCTACATACTTTTTGTACTCAAGACATCTGAGATGCTTAGACACAAAGCACTGTGTTTCTGATTGCTCACATTGATTAAAGTATGAGTTACAATACATGCTGACCTGGTGGTCAGAACAGATAACACAAAAGCACAGAGGTTCCATTAGGTTCCATCCTTTTGTGGTCACCAACTGCTCTAGTAATAAAGGTTCTCTCCTGACACAGAACTCCAGAGAGATCCAACTCCCAACACTTTGGAGAGTGGAAGCATGACAATGAGGACATCAGCAAGTCACTATGTGGTGACCAGACCACTCTACTCAGAGGAGACCTTTGCAGAAGATTATGAGAAAGTGTACCGGAAACGAAAGACCACGCTGGACCATGTTAAGCAATACTTCAGGTAAGCCTGAAAACATTCTTTGCTCCTCAGACAGAACAGATGGCAAAGAACTAATCTCTGGTAAAGAGAGTGAGAAGAACGTCAAAAGTTTGGAAAAGCACATTTTTTTCTGTCTCTTTTTTTAACTCAATATACTGCAGAAATATTGGTGTGCATGTTGATATCTCAAAGATGAGCAATTGCATGTATTGTAAACTTTAAATTGAGAACTGTGATTTGTGACATGACAAGAGATTGGAGGTTTTGACAGCATTTTTTGTCTGAATCAGAATCACTTTATTTCACCAAATATGTTACACATACAAGGAATTTGTACTGGTGATATGACATGACTGAACAGACAAAAACAGATATTTAACTAAGGGACAATTTATATATATATATATATATATATATATATATATTATTATATATATATATATATATGCAAGTCTGAGTAGACATATAACTACTATATACAGAATTTTACAGATTGACATGAACGTATCATGATACTAACATATGTGCAGATGTGCAGTTTGCAAATAATGCTGCAGAAGGGGTTATACTTTAATATAATTGTTTGTTACCTTCAGTTTAAACTGAAATTTAAGTGTGAGGTGTCCACTGTGGTTCATGAGTGCTACAGCTCTGGGGAAAGAGCTGTTAGCTTTTTTGAACAGGGTGCATATCAGAAAAGTTAAAAGCTGACTGTACTGTTTTGATGTTCACTGTATCTGTGTGTTTATTTGTGTATGTGATACAGTTGCGATTCAAAACGTGTGAAGAATGCAGCCCTGTCTCTGCTGCCGATCATCGGATGGATGAAAATGTACAGGGTAAAAGAATGGCTGTTGGGTGATATAGTGTCAGGAGTCAGCACTGGACTGGTGGCTATTCTGCAAGGTAAAAAAAAAACTACACAGCTGCACAAAACATACAATTTCGGTGACACTATCTTGAGTGGTCTTTTTTAGAATAAATAAACACTGGGTTTTGGTTAAGGTTAGGGTAAGAATTAAGGCCAGCGTGAGGGTTAGGATTAGGGCCAGGGTTAGGGTTAGGATTAGGTTTTAGGTTGAGGTTAAGGTTAAGGTTAGGATTAAGGCCAGGGTGGGGGTTAAGTTTTGGGTAAGGTTGGGTGAGGTTAGGTTTTGCATAAAGGAAGTAACATATTAAGTCTTCTTCATGTAACATATCAACAATACAACTACTTAATGTAAGCAATGCATCAACAGTACATCTTCAAGATATTTACCTCAATGTATTTTGAGTTTATTGATCATCCACAAAGGACCACACAAAATAGTGTTACCCGAAAATTAAAAACTGTTACACACAAAAAGAATAAATAAATAATACACATCTTTTTATTACTGGCCATCTCAAACATTACATGATGGAAATGTCTTGCAATTTGCAATAAAAATGTAATTTAAATGTTTTTATTATTATTTTATTAATAGAAATTTTGAACAAAACTCATTATTAGTGTCTAATGTGATAAAAGTATCTAATGTAAAATAACATTGCTGCTAAACTGTTCACATTACAATCAATAAATAATCATTTAAAGTCTCAAAGTAAAGCGTGATAGTGTATCTTTATGAGCTACACTTAATGACTTTACAGATATAGTTTATAGTGTCAAGACTTTGTAGACTCAACACAGCTAATCAGCCAGAAACTGTGACAAAGCAAGGGTGACTTTGATCAGATATTTATGGAACTCATGTTAAGATGTTTACATGTTTCCATTTGTTTCTTAGGGTTAGCGTACAGTTTGCTAGCATCTCTGCCTGCTTGGTATGGGTTATATGCTGCCTTTTTCCCTGTGATCATCTACTTTTTCCTGGGAACATCTCGACACATTTCTGTGGGTGAGTTCCAGGCTCTTTTTTAAGTGACAGCAACATGGATTTATAAGGCCTAAAGCACTAAAAGCCAGAACACGTATGATGACGTTGCAGATTTCGATATCACTGGGTTGTTGTTGTGGCACTAAACGTACAAGCCTGCACATAACCTTTGCCTAATTTAACAACAACATAAAGACTAGCAAAAGGGCAATAAAACACTGCCTACAAAATAGAGCTACACCCAGTGACCTAGCTCGAATCCAGGTGCTATGTGCCATTTAAGGCCAAGAGTCTAATCCCAGTGTCAGAAACTGGTCAGTAGGGGTCACTATTTTTCTTTCATAAAGTGACTACAGATCAAAAAACCAGCCAAATACTATTGCTAATGAAACATGAAATACACTGAGAGAATTATAGAGATCGGAAACTTGAGGCTAATAAATTGGGTAAAAATAATCATTCCACATGTTAGCTGGACATTGAAATAATCTACATCTGTAGCATGGTGGCATAGACAGAGTTTCATTTCAGGGGGTGGCGTTGGTGGGGCTGTTAACTTTACTACTAACCTAGCTCACTAGTTTGGTGAGTATTAGTGGAGCTTGGCTGGTTACTTGCAAACAGTCAAACAGGATACTAGGGTACAACTTTACTGGTTCAAAACTGTGACGGTACGCGACTGATGGTAGCATTTAGCCATGTAAATGTTGCCATGGCGATAGCACCTGCCGAAAACTGGTAATGATCCAAGAAGAGCTTCTATTTGTTTAACCTCTTACCAAGCCATGTTCTAACGCACACTTCTATAAGCTAAGAAAAGTTCCATTAGTTTGCACTGAAGTCCTTGTAGTTACTCAACACTAACCCTTAGTATGTAATAAGCCTGGAATGGTAAGGGGTTAAGGTGAAAAATTGGCACAAGGATGCAAAACCTCAGCAAAATGTAATTAATTTGCCCTTTTATAATACAGGTTCATCCGTTCTTTTAAAAGTGCAAGACACTTTCACGGGCATCAGAGGACTTCTAGAGGAAATCTAGGGAAGCTTGGCTTCCAAGTGAGGGGGGCTAGTTTTCAAAATCAGCAGCACAGTAGCAGCTGCCACCTTTGTAATATCATTCTTATTCTAAGGATATAACTGCTGTCATAAATAAATAAATAAATAAATAAATGAATGAATGAATGAATGAATGAATGAATGAATGAATGGTGTCTCCAGAATGGTGACTTTATAGGAGAAGGCAAAAAGTTAATATAAAGATGTTTGTCTCCTGGTTCATTCTGCTTTTTTACACCGTGGAAAGTACAGCCGCCATGTTTATCTAATTGAGGGGTTCAACTGCTGCTGTCCTCTGCTTTGTTTCCGTTCCAGGAGCTTTCCCTGTTCTAAGTCTGATGGTGGGAGCTGTGGTGACCAGACTGGTTCCTGATGAGGGTTCACCAGTCAACATCACAGGCCTCGAGGGGCTGACCATGAATGAGCAGAGAGCCATAGTGTCCGCCTCACTTACCTTTCTCGTCGGCATTTTCCAGGTATGCGCATGCTGCTCCCATGCTCCATGCCTATTTATTAAGAATGGTGGTCAATATAGAGTGACAACTCCTCTCCTTTCTCACTCAGCTGGCTATGGGGGTGCTGCAGGTGGGCTTCATAGCTATATACCTGTCAGATACTCTAGTGTCTGGATTCACAACTGCTGCTGCCGTTCACATCCTGATATCACAGCTGAAGTTTGTGTTGGGGCTGACAGTACCGGGCTTCAGCGGACCTCTTGCCGTTATATATGTAAGTTTGACTGATTCTGAGTTATTCATAAGTTACTGTTTAAAAGTTTGCAATTAGTGTTTTCAACAATATAAAACCTGTTTGGTTGCAAGTAAATGAATAAAATGATTCTAATACTCTGGTCCTGTGAAATTTCACAGGTTTATAATAATTAGTACCAAACTAGCAAGCAGCTTGTATGAAATCTATGTATGGAGAATGCATGAAATTTAGATGTCTCAATTGTTGAAAAAAACTATAGATGATTCTATAATTGAGAAAGCTGTACAACATCATAAATGGGATTATAATAAAATTAACACCCAGAATGGATCATATCTCAAATCAAAATCAAAATATGGTGATCACACATCAAGGTAGATAACTTGATAAAAAAATGACAAGTAGATAATTACAGTATACCTTTAATAGATGCAAAGAACTTTTGTTGCTTCATAAGAGTGTTTTTTTGCATCAGTGACACTGTGTGTCCTTGTTCTATCATAACAGTGTTGTTTAAATACATGTTCTTCCCAAAATATTTAAAATAATAAATCTAAAATACATTTAGGTTTCTAGATTATGATATTTTAAATCAACATTGTGTATAGAAAACAAAAGTTATTAATATGAGAAGTGATTACAAACTTGCAAATTCCATACAGTAATTATCTAATGGTTTTTTGTTACGTTATTTGAATACTTCTTTCCCAGTTTTCAGGCAACTTCTTCACCATGAATAGGTTAAAAACATAAAGGGCAATTATTTTTAGGTCAAAACTTATCTCAACTTATCTAAACTATTGTAAAACAATGTCTAAGACATCATATCATATCCATGTATATTTCATCTAAAAGCTTCCTGTGATGCAGTTACAAAGAGGCATTAAACACTTCGGATGTTTGGTTTCTATGTATGTGATGAGGCAATATATGAGCCAAAAAAAGCTTATTATTTTCAAATTTACCACTTTTTTCACTGTCAATATTACATAAAAATTCAGAGAACATAAGTAATTTCACTGGCCATTTTGAATAGTAAATAAAATGGCGACACACAACTTTCTGGATGCTATAAAGCTTTGTGAATCATTTTATATTAATATACAGCTTCATTTATCATTCTAGACATCATTCTGGTTTTATATTATTGAAAACATTGATTCCAATCTCTCAAACAGTGATTCTAAACCTTTGAACAGTCATGTATATGTATTAATATATTGCTAAAAAGAATTTCTATTAGAACATGTTGATAAAGTACACAATAACATCTAGATTTGTGATGTTCCTTGGACCTCAACCTTCTTAGGCCTTTCCTTTTTTTGCCACTCACTGTTACAAACACAAAGTATGTCACAACACGTCACAGATAACACTATCTTGGGTCGGCACTAAAACAGTACATCACACGATGCTTGCGTCAAAGCACTGGTGTTAATGTGGTCTCACTCTCTTGTTACTCTTTTAACCCTAGATTCTGGAGAGGATCTTCGACCAGATCACTTCCACAAACCTTTATGACTTGGTCACCTCCATTGTGGTGATGGTGGTGGTGTTTATTGTGAAGGAACTCAATGACAGATTCAGGTCAAAGCTTCCAGTGCCTATTCCCATAGAGGTCATCATGGTGAGTGTGGGTGGTGAATTGGTACACATAAAAGACTGAAACAATCTGTTGTTGATAAATGAATGATTAATAAGTGAATGACAGAACATCTACTATTGATTTATTAATGATGGAGCATTAATCATTTTCAGGACATTAATCTCTTCAGCTGTGTTAATTGTCTTCCAAGCCCTGAGACAAGAAACACACTGGATGACTGTCTATCTTGATATCATTCACAGACAGTCATAGCGTGTGGCATCTCCTACGCATTCAACTTTAGAGAGAATCATGGAGTGGATGTTGTAGGAAAAATACCTGATGGGTAAGCAAGAAGATCCAAAAGTATCACATTATTGCCTATGTGATGAGTATGGAATGAGTAAAATGAAGCCATCTTCCACTTTCATTAGATTTGAGGCACCCGTGGCTCCGAATCTTCACATCTTTCAGGAGACAGCAGTGGACGCTTTTCCTATAGCCATAGTGGGCTTTGCTGTTGCTTTCGCTGTGGCTAAAGTCTACTCTGTCAAGCATGACTATGTTATTGATGGAAACCAGGTTAGCTCCCTCATCACATACAGTAGTTGTGGTCCATGTAAGTTTGAAGGGGTCGTGTCAGAAAGAGACCACTTTCTTTTTCTGTGTGTGTTTGTTTGTTTGTTTTGTTTTGTTTTGTTTTAAATAATGAATCTGATGTACTCTTCACTCCCCAGTCCATATATGGAAACTAAGCTGCCTGTTTTGAACTCATCATGGTTGTGATGTCACAACACTCAGCAAATGTACCTATAGCTGCCCTATTGGTACTTTCAACCTGCACTTTTAAAAATGATGGTCCTTCAATGGTTCTTTAGTGAAGAAATTTGTTTTAAATAGAACCATGAACACTCAAAGAACCCTTTGCATGACTAAAGGGTTGCATCAGGAAAGGGTTCTTCAGATCGTAACAAAAGAAGAACCATTTTGGTGCTATATAGAACCCTTTTCAAAAAGGTTCTATATAGAACCCTTTCATGATGCAAACGGTTCTGTGAGTGTTCATGGCTCTATATAAAACCATTTTCGTTACTAAAGAATCCTTGACGATCCATCTTTTTAAGAGTGTAGGTTGAAAGCACCAAAAGGGCAGCTATAGGTAAATGTGTTGAGTGTTGTGACATCACAACCATGATGAAGGGTGTACGAAGTTAACACGCTCATTTACACTAAAGTGATAGGGAGTGTTGTTACTGCAGACAGTCTGTAGCAGAGATATTGGAGCAAAGACTGTGAGGGGAAATGATAAAACAAGCTGCTACTCTTAGAGGTCAAATCTATCAAGGCAGGATTCTAAAGGATCCAGACATCCAAAGCAAATTGTAGAAGTTAGAATTGGACTAACAGTTTGTTTCACATTTGAGGTTATACTGCTTTTTAAATGAGACATAATACAGTACATCCAGTTAAAACAGAGATCATTTACATAGATCAGTAACAAAAAGCAGCCTGTTAAAGATGAGGGGATAAAGAAGGTTGGAAAATAGTCATGTAACATGAATTATGACTGTTTTTGGTACATAAAACCACACAAAAACACAAATGAGCTTCATGGGAAAATAAAGAAACATCTTATAACATTAGTGCTTTTCCACTGGGCAATGGCATGGTGGTTTCTGTTATGATCTGTACCGTACCTGGGGACCCATGCTGAACTTAATTGCCCTTCTTACTGCTATACCAAGCAAACCGAGCCAGAACATATGTTTGGAGCCATACACAGTGCGGCCATTAATTGGTCAAACGAAAACATCACCGAATTGCCACTAACACTAGCCAGCCAAGATGGCTCTTTGTTATTCTTCATATAATCCAAATTTAGAGTAAAAGCTCAATCAGAACTTGTTTGTGGTTATGTTAACACTAGCATTATGTGAGAAATAATGTGACCACCACACCACCTCCAGAGAATGCCTAATTTTACCATTACTAATGGAAAACGGACACAGGACCAGGGTAGGGATAGCTGTGGATTCTGATTAGTGACCATTCCTTGCCATGCCACACTGTCCAGTGGAAAAGTACCATTAATGGAAATGGGAAAACTAATATAACAAACCAAAATAAATCCCCATATTATTTCATTGTTACTCAGTACTATTGTGTCCACAGGAGCTTATTGCTTTTGGGGCCAGTAACATCTTTGGTGGCGCATTCAAATCATTGGCGGCCAGCACAGCTCTGTCCAGGAGTGCAGTGCAAGAGAGCACAGGAGGGAAAACACAGGTAAAGCCCTTCATAAAGAGACATTATGTTATGCACACTAATCCTTTTAAAAGACTGTTAACCTTTCATACTTCCGTGGTTTTTCAAAAATGAGAGCATGATTCATCAAAATTGCTCAAGAAAAAGGCGCAAGAACTTTGTACAGACACTTTTATGAGGTTTATAAATATGAACGGTACATAAAACAGCCGTACCTGTGTCAGTTACTGCCTGCCACAGTTGTTTTACAAGACAACAGAATTACTGCCCTCTAGTGTTCAGCTGCACATATTTCATGGTTGCAAGTTAATTTATTCAAAAACAGCCCATAAAAAAAGAGGGCGGCCCACTTTAAGATGCCTTTAAAAGATAGAGTCAAACAATCAGCATTTTATGCATGCTATATGGCACAATATTGGTGGCATATTACCTTTAAGAGGATTTAATATGTGGCCTATCCTTGAACTCTATTCTACCAAATCTCTTTTTATAATATGTTCCATCAAAAAGTAACCAGATGAAATAATTTAATGGAGGCGTTGTAATTTTCCAGATTGCTGGTGCTCTGTCTGCCATCATTGTCCTCATAGTAACCCTGGCTATAGGGTTCCTGCTTGAACCACTACCAAAGGTGAGGGTCAAACATTTTTTGTGTCTTACAGAGATGCTCATATGGGTACCTTAGTCCAACAGAGACTGTGCTTGATCTGAATACACTGAACCTGTATTTACAATGTCCAAAAGCAAAAGAGTATTATGAAACAGGCTGAAATGTCCAGTATTGAACCCTGAGCTTCAGGTAGTGGCACATTACAAAGCTCTAGTGTGTGATGTATTTGCAGTCAGTGCTGGGCGCAGTGGTAATAGTGAATCTGAAGGGGATGCTGATGCAGGTGCGTGAAGTCCCTTACCTGTGGAAGAAGGATCGGTCGGACTGCGTAAGAGCCCTTTTCTTTTTCTCGCCAGCACACACCCTGTTGAATAAATGACATTTATTAGTATGTCAGTAATGCCTAATCAAAACACCTGCTTATTTAATATTTGCTCACTGAGGGAACCTTTTGGTTAAATGAAAGAATATTAGTACTGAGAGGAACTGCTGTTATAGCTTTTTGAAATCACTGTCTCCCTTCAGATTGTCTGGATAGTCACCTGTGTGGCCTCCATCTTGCTGGGGCTGGATCTGGGCCTAGCTGTGGGACTCGGAGTGGAGCTGCTTGCTGTGGTCTTCCGGACTCAGTTGTGAGTATAAATAAAATGCAGTGCACTAATTTGTCACGAATGAAAAGCTGATATTATTTTAAACATGTTAGATTAACATTGTAAACTCACAACAGAGCAAGTACTGATTAGGCTTGAGCAAAGGATAAAATCACATTGCTGGGGTCAAGTTTAAAGTTTCATATTCTGCACAAAAAGGTTAAAAATCCAGCAGGTGGGGTGCCATTAATTAACAGTAAAACAAAAATGTTTTTTCACTGCTGGTATAAATCTGTATATTACAATCATTTAATTTCTTAGAAATACTGCCCTTTACTATAAGTTATCAGCTTCACTAGTTCAACTAGTGATACATAAAATATAGTACATACAGTGCTTTACCATTATAATAACAGCCATAATAACAACTACTAAAATAAAAAAAATACTTTTTTTACAGTGTGTGTATGCCTAAATGTTGCTCAAATTTAAAAATGTACGATTGCTATACATACCATACAATCCATATATTGACACAGTCAGAATAAAACCTTGAATTTAAATTTTTGACCATTTTTTCACATAATGTGAAAATGCCAACCACCATTTACGCTGCCTCAAAAGTAAGTGACGAACAGACTAACAGAAATGGTGTAAAATCAATTAGAATAAAAACATATTGCATTAACTCAGATTGAAAGATTTTTTTAAATTATGAGCTTTAAATATTACAGCAATTGTATGAAAACTGAGCTGCAAAAACACTGTAAATTCATCACTGTTGTGATGTCACAAGCATGAACACATTTTTACATGAACACCTCTTCAGCACACAGCACCTTAGCCTGCCCATTCATGTTGAAGTGATGAGTAGTGTTGTTACTGCAGGCAATCTGTAGCAGAGTCAATGAGGGGGGAAACGATTAAATTCCTGCCTGAAGCAAATGTATCATAGCAGCCTTCCCAAAGATTCACACAGCTGAAATAAGCGGCTATTTTATTTTCTATTATGCCCTGATATTTCAGCCCAAACGTAAGAGCTGTGTTACTTTTTGAACAATGGACAATACAGGGCATTCAGTCTGAACAGAGGTCATTTACATACATCAGTCTTAGTGACACAGCCACACAGGATAAAGAGAGGTTTGGAAAACCATCATGTGATAATGAATTACCACACAAACACTGTAAGTGGACTTAAAGGACAAAATTGAATAAATAAAAAATAAAAAAGTAAAATATGGCCCCTATCAGAATAACCTATAAGGTCTATGTGAGGTTGGTCTGGTTGTTCATAGAGATGTCCTCTACTCCCCAGCCCCCGCTGCTCTGTCCTGGCAAACATCACTGGCACAGACATTTACAGGGACCGCAAGGACTACATCAATGTGAGTCAATCATTACCATAGCCTTTACACAATCCTTTCTGTACAGCCAAAAAACTGAGACTCCTCATAAACCTGAAAAGGTGTGTCCATGCAGAAAACATTCCCTAAGAGTATGCAAAATCTGACCAGTATTACAAAACAGCCTGAAAGCTACAGTGCTGATGAGTGAGCTGTAAGCATTAACATCAATGGTGTGGTCCTCATAGATATTTGAATGCAAACTTTATATGAAGTTAATCACTGAAATAGTATAAAAATACTTACCTCATAAATATTAAATATGTCATCTTTATTTATGTAGAAAAAAACTAATTTTCTCATCTGAAACTTTACACAGATCTATGAACCAGAAGGAGTGAAGATTTTCAAAATCCCTGCACCAATCTTCTTTGCAAATATTGATTTCTTCAGAGGAAAGCTGGTTGATGCTGTAAGTATATATCCAGCATTATAACCCTGACTTTGCTCTCAAGTAACCTCTTCAATGACAAGGCCCTACTCAGCCTATTACATTACAGGAACAGTTACGCCAATGGCTTAGAGCTATCATGTAAGAAACCCTGAAGCAGTAATAAGAGGAATTCCACAGATTTTTTTTTTTTAGATTTCTGCATAATTAAATCTTTAAAATATATATACAAAGTCATTCAGAGTGGTCTGATGTGAAATGCTCCATTCTAATGAACATTACTGAGTCAGAACTACTTTACTCACCTGTTAAACTTAATAATGTTAAACTTAAAAAGTAGGTAAAACTTACTATTTCTTGTATAAAGCCTTAGTTACTCAGGTAAAGCTAGTTAAGATGAATGAATTTGAATAAGTCTTACTGACTGAAAAGTCTGGGTGCATTTTACATGTTTTTATTATTTTCGCCATGATTGTGTTTTGTGTTCAGATTCAGCAGTTCAGCCATTAATGCTATCAGGTGGTAAATATCACCTCTTGAGCAGTTTCTAAACACAGTAACAAAGATGCATGAAGCCTCCTGATTTCTCAGAAATGAGTAACGTGCCTTATCTGAATAATTTGTTCAGAACTGTACCAAACAATGGAGTTGTTTCATTTGATACCAATACAATGCACAGGGATGAGTATTTGACACAAGTTTACTAACTCAAGGTTAAGCAGAACTTAAAAATAATACTGTCAGCTCAGCTGATATCATTTAAAATTACTGGGGTGTTTGAGGTGTCTGTTGTTGGCCTTACACTATAAAAAGTGGCTTGTCATATCTACTTTAAAAATGTACTTCATGTGGTAACAAGTAATAAACTAATTTTATTCAACCTAAATAAATACTTTGAATGAATGATTCTTTCGATCAATGTAGTTTTTTGAGTTGAATAAAACTAGTTCAGTTACTTGTTACCACATGAAGTAATTTTTTTAAGTAGATCTGAAGAGCCACTTTTTACAGTGTACTTGCTTAAAAAGTATGGTTCACTGAGAAGTAGAAAATAATTACAACTCAAAAGTTATTTAAGCTTGGACCTATTAAATAACTACTTTTTTCAATGCAGTAAGTTTGCATTTTTTTACATTTTTTACTAATTTATGTTCACAAAGAGACCAGACATTTGAAGAGTATAAGGGCTCTACATCACAGGAAATGATATGTTTACAAATATGTCACCCAATGCCTGAGACATTGTTTCTGAGTTCTGGTGGTTCTGAGATATGATTTTGGCCTAAAATGTATTTTTGAGTCTATTCATGGTGGATAGTACATGTAGGGTGTTGTAATGCAAAATGGTGCCCAAAAGAAAATGCTTTTTCAGATTTACCACAATTTTATCACTGTCAACACTACATAAAAACTGGGAAGACACATGGAGGTTCACCGGTTGTTTTGGAAAGTAAATACAATGGCTATATTTGTATTGTAGACTTGGTCACCCCTGGTTCCTATCACCACCTCTGTAAAGAAAATCTGAGTCACCAAGGCATCATTTCACACCAAACCACATTGAATTACTTTGTTGGCAAATGATTGAATCAATTTATACAAAACAATTCAGTTATACAGAAATGTAGAAACAATTTGTGGAATTCCCCTTTAAGTGCCTAATTGTTGTATTGGGTGAATCAGTTTTTCGGCCTTGTTATTCACAGCTGGGGTCAAAACACAGCTAGTCAGAGTCAACTGGTGTTTTTCCACCGGGCAGTGCAGTACGCTACGATATGGTTACACATCTGTGTACCATACCTGAGAACCCTTGCCCTTGCTAGGGTACCCTTTTTGTTTGGATCCCAAGCTTGCTAAAAATCATCACATGGTGTCACTGGAGTTAGATGATCATCATTAAAAAAATACGAGCACTAGTTAGCCAGAATTTCTCTCAAAAAAAAGTTACAAAGTGTAAATCAGAAATTAAAACTTCTCCATTGCTGGCACTGTTTGTATTTAGCGTTAACCCCAGATTCGAGTGAGAGATGTGACCACACAAGCTAAAGAGAACCATACCTATATTCTTAGTTCTGTTATGTGATGGGGAAAAGACACAGGCACTCAACCAGGGTATGGATAGGCCTGGGTTCTGATATGCAGCCGTTCTGTGCTGTACCGCTCTGCCTGATGGACAAATGCTGATATATAACACAAAAACAAGGCAAAAGAAGCAAGGTCAAAAAAATAAAACCCACAAAATACCATGAAACCAGGAACACCAGGAACTAGGAAACTCTCTGAAAATAAGACTCAGAATCAAATATCGTGCAAGACTGAATATGTGCAAGACTTCACAACAAGCACAGAAAACAAAAGGACATTGTTTAGACACAAAACCACATACAGGTGAAACTAATAACGATTGGAATGAGGAGGACAGTGTTCTACACTAGGTGCAGGTGGTCACAGCAAAGGGAGAAGCCAGGGATTCTATGACAAGTTCAAATCAGGGAAGGTGAAATAACTCATTATCAATGTGTCGCAATTAAAGTATACACCTGGCTGTAGTGTTTATTTTGAACATCCCTCCATGGTAGGATGTTTCAATGGTATTACATAACACACTCTTGACTTTCTTGAGCAACACTGGTTGACATTATCAAGACTGTGACTAAGAGTCTATCAGTCCTTTTCATTTGTTTTTTTAGTATCTTTGAATATGGGCTTCTATGGCTATTCAGCTTTTTTGTTTTCACCATTTGAAACACCAAATGTGTAAGCATTTCATGACAAATGGACCAATTGAAACGGTCAGAAAAGAATCTATTTTCATTATACTTTATACAAATGCAAATCAAACATTTTGAAGATATGAGGTTTTGTTAGACTCACTCTAATACTTTTTTTTGCTGTGTTGCAGGTTGGCTTCAGCCCTTTGAGAATACTGAGGAAGAGAAATAAGGCGCTGAGGAAAATTAAGAAACTCATAAAGAAAGGAGAACTAACAGTCACCTCTGTAAGTCCAGCAGATCGTCACAGAAGGGTATTGCCCTCAGAACTTGAACCTTGATTCTCTCAGACAGACACTTATCAGTCATGCTAATCTGACGTGAAACTTTTAATGGCCACAATGCATAAACGGTCTGGTACTTTAGCAGGCTAGACTCCATTTCCTGTTTCTATCCTCCATGTTCTACACAGCCTCAAATGGTTGAAAGAAATTCAATCTCAAATTTTTGAGTACACACAAGAAAGTTTTGCATTCCTGTGAGAAAGCCAAAATATCATGTGTGCATGCTCAAGTTTCAGGTTTTTTTTTCAAAGGTCACTTTAGATGGTTTCTCAACATGTCCTTATTTTGACAAATTACTAACATGTCTTTTCACCCTTTGAATCTGGAAAGTTCTTTTAAACTTGCAATGGCCCAATGATCTTCATTACTTTATCCACAGAAAGGACTAAATGTCACAGGCTCTTTTCCTATTGACGAGTCTGAAGATGAGAACAATATGGAGGATTTAGATCAGCCGGTGGATTTCTCAGATCTTCCTGTTCAGGTGAATTGGAGAAGCGAACTCCCTGCCAACATCTCTGTTCCTCCAGTAAACATCCACAGTCTCGTGCTAGACTTCTCTGCCGTCTCGTTTATCGACATCTCAGCAATCAAGGGGCTTAAAACGGTAGGTTTATGGCTGGTTTTAAAATTGAAATTTCTCTAAAATACAACAAAGTAAGATCTGATTGCATTTCAAACTGCATATTTAATACTGTAGTGTTGTCCAACTAAACTACTGACACATTTGCATTAGTGGAAGCTTTGTTTCCCTTTGAACTGTTAAGAGCACGGTCAGTATGAGCAAAAGGTTTTGTTACATTTTATACATCATATAACATTGCATAATAAAATTTACAGGCTTTAAAAGAGTTCATCCGTGTTGATGTTGAGATCTACATCGTGGCCTGTGACCGTAAGTGTAAATTCTTATCATGGAATCTAAACTGCCACAATCATGTTGCCAATGTGATAAAAGAGTAAATATTATCTCCCTCTAACCTTTGAAATGTCATTTCCAGCGTACATCATTGAGAAACTGAAAAGCTGCAAGTTCTTTGATGATGAGATTAAGACGTCCATTTTCTTTCTGACCCTCCATGATGCAATACTCCACATCCTCCAGCTACATCCGCCTCTGACCGTAAGCGAGAAGGTATAAGAAACAATGGTGTTTTAAATGATATGAAAATAAAATTACAGGTTTAATTGAAATTAAAGGTTTAAATGAAAATGAACTTTTGAACAGGTTTGAATCACGATTGAATTACAGCTTTAAATGAAACAAAATTAAAATTTCTTAGAAACAAACATACTTTTTGCTTCATATGATTGAACATTTTTTAACATTTCAACATCTGTGCCCATACAGGCCTACAACAGCATCCATGACATGCTGTATAATGGAAATAGCAACTTGCGAAGCAGAGAAAAAACGGTGAGTGGACTTGCTGATGTATACAGTACTTTATTTACCTTAGGCTAAATGATTAGACAGTAATTGATCAATCCATGCATCACCCACAAATTCATTCTTTCATAGCTACTGCTGTAAGGTTGGATAACAAAAATCAATGACAGAAATCCCATTCAACCACATGAGAAAGCTTTCAGTTTAAAATGCTGAGCTACTGAAGTGTGGCAGATAACTGAAACTAGGCAACCAACAACATTCCCACATTAGTTTAATTAGTACCCAATAAAAAATACCCTTAATCTGTTTTAATGTTGTAACCTTCCACAAGCATACTAGATAAATATTATTTAAAAAGAATAATGTATTCAAATTTTACATAATTTGTTGGGCACTAGTGATGGACTGGTGACCTGTCCAAGGTGTATCCTGCCTTCCGCCCAATGACAGGTGGGATAGGCTCCAGCAACCCACCGCGACCCAGAAGGATAAGCGGTTTAGATGGTGTGTGTGTGTGTGTTGGGCACTATAATTTCTCATTAGGTTAATCAGAATTAAATGAGGGATTTTTGAAGTGTGTCCAACCTCGCAGTCGTAGCTACTAAAGCAGGGCTGCCCAAAGTGCGGCCTGTAGGCCAAATTTGGCCTGCGAGGACATTTGATTTGGCCCAACAGAAAGGGACCCTAACCCCACCCCCTCACCCAGTGAGAAAACAAATGTGCTTTTATACTATATATAACTTTCTAAATTCTTATTTTTCTTTGTATTTGTAGCTCCGAAGTGTGTTAGAAACAAAATTTATTAACAGTTTATAAAAATATCTTTACAAATCTCAATTTGAAACCTACCTGCCTTTTTTATTGTTTAGTCTTTATAGTCTTTGACACACCAAAAACACCACATTCTGGTCCCCCCAAGATAAAACATTTGGGCACCCCTGTACTAAGCAATGCGTTTGTGCCTGGATAGATCAATTTTTTAAAAAAGAACATGCAGATAAAAGTGTCTTTCTTTGCAGAGCAAGGAGCCAGAGACCAGGTTTTAATGGACTGCCATTTCAGTTGCTTCCCCATATGCTGGAGAACCTGGGACACAGTCTGCTGCCGGACACTGTAAATCTGAAGAAAATATTTCATTTTGAACTATTTTTGTTAATTTAATAATTTGTATATAAATGTATGGCATGAATTTGTATCGAATGATGACATGTTTACTAACAAGAAGAGCGTTTAATCAGGCGATCTTTTCTTAGATTGCTGGCAAGGAATAAACAGGGGTGCATTTTTTTGTATATGTAAATTATTTTTGGTGTAGATTTTGTTGTATAGTGTTAGCATACTGTCATATTTTTGTGTACCACTGCTATTTAAAATAAATTCCAACATTTTACACTGACATTGTGTTTCCTTTTTGGACAGAGGCCAATGAATGTTATCATGTTTTAGCCACATAGGAGTGAATCAGTATATTGTTCTTTATCTGCCTGCTTGTTGTCATAAGGTAAGATATCTTTACAGAAATGGAAGCCAATTACTACTACAAAAGGAAATCTATCTTCTGTCTGTCTTTTGTCAGGGAACTCCAGGGAAAACTACCTTATAAGAAATACCTGCTGTTCCACAGAAGTTAACAATAGGTTTTTTCAGGCATGTGATTTGGATTCATGTACAATGTATATTGTACATTTGTTGTGCAGTTATTTACATGCTGTGCTTAAATGGAAACTCCACAAGGGTGCACCTCATCCTGATTACACAGGAGATGCACTTCAAAATTTTTACTGGAATTAAATCCAACGAAGTATATGTTTTAATACATCCCCTTAGGGGGCTATAGCACTGCATAGTGTATTGTTTTGCCCACTTTGACATATTTGTTTGCTCATTACTGATAATGGGAATTAGGTGTGGTGCACTGAATCCTCCACTGGTGTGACCCTGAAAAAGTGGACCTACATGTTACATGTTCACCCACTTCTCAAACTCAGAGAGAGAGAGAGTACAGGGGAGAAATGTGTGATTTTTCTGTAAAAAAAAAAAAAGACAAATCTACTACATAAAAAAATCACTCACTTGTTGAAAACAAGCTCAACTCAAACTTAATGTTGTATGTGAGAATGTTCACCTAATAGTTTGTCAGGCTTGGGTCAGGCTGCAGGCAATATTAATGTGGATGCTCACAAAAATACTTGGAATGCTGTGTTTTAGTGGCATTTTAATATTTAAAATATTGTTTCTTCTTTGGTTTCAAGCAAGAAGAGTTTTACTGAATAAGAGCATTTTACAATATAAAAAATTGTAGATGAAGTGTTTCAGTGTTAGCAACTGCACATTTTGCAGCTTAATGTAAAAAATATGTGGGACAACTCTACAGTGAACAGGGCTGAGCCCCAGATCTTTAGAGGTCCAGTTAAAGCCTGGGCAAAACATTTCATTTGTGAGATGAAAAAAAGCTAAACTGCCCTTTTTCTACAACTAAATGTACAGAGTCAGACACCACTCTTCATTTATTCAATGTCCAGTGAAAACAGACATTACACAGCTCCTGTGTAATTTTCTGTTATATAAAAATAAATTTCAAACTATATGGATTTGTTACGTTTTATCAGCAGCACACTTGATTTAATGAAGGATTGATTAGCCAAACCAGGTGTTGGATGATATACAATTAATCCTGGTCTGCCACGTGGACAGATTCAGAAATGGTTAAATGAAAACAATGACATACATAAAATCACTACTCACTGTATTAATGTTTTTTGTATTGTTCTGAGCAGATAAAAGCTTATCATCCCACACTGCAAAACATAACAACTATACTAACTTCATTTATTTTGGTTTACTTTACTCATCTGTTAAACTTACTGATGTAAATCTAGTAGCACATATTATTTCTTGTATAGTCTTAGTTACTCAGGCAAAGCTAGTTAGGATCAATTCATTTGGATTCTTTACACACTGACGTCCTACAGACCGAAGAGTCTTTTGCCCAAAAAGCTTCCCAGCATTCTTAGCAGTTTTGTTGGTTTCTGTCAAGTAACTCTTGTTTTTTCTAATTTTTCATTAATTCTCTTTGCATTATGTCATGCTTGTGTCAAAGCAGATTCTTCTGCTGAATGTTAAGTCTGGATGCATTTTACATGGTTTTGTTACTCTCACCATGATGGTGTTTGTGTTCAGGATCACCAGTTCAGTCTGTAGCCATGAATGCTACCAGTTGGTGAATTCCAGCTCTCAAACAGTTCCTGAACAGAATGGAAAAGATACTTGGAGCTAGATGAGTCCCCAGAAATTGATGAGTCTTGTCTTATCAATTTCTTCATTACCGTGTGAAGTGAATGGATAAGACCATATGTAGCCACTGGCTGTAGAGCCATTAGTTCATTATTGTATGAAACAATGCATTTAAAATAATAGACGTTTCATAATTGATACAAGTGCATTGCACATAGCTGAATATTTGCAGCAAGGTGCGATTAAATGAGAGGTTAATCGAACTAAATCAAGAGCACACAGAACTTGAAATAGTAGAGTCCTGCCTGCTCAATTGAAATTATTTAAACTGATTGGGCTGTTTGAGTTAAGTGTACTTGCTGAAGAAGTGTAGATCACTGAAAAATAGGAAGTACCAATAACTTAAATATAAAGGTCTTTAAAGTCATAGTTTTACTTACTTTTTCCAGGGCAATAGGTTTGCACAATTTTTAAAAGAGTAAAATTAACTAATTTACTTTAATTTAAAGTTACCATTTGGAGGTTATGAATGTATGGTATATATACATAAGATAAAATAGCATTTTCCTTTTTGGACTTAGGCCGCAAAGGACACTGAATTGTTATCATATCTTCATATCAGACTGACGCAAGTCAGAATACTCCTTATCTGCCTGTTTCTGCAAATCAGTACAATGGAGTCTCTAAGAGAAAGTGTGAAGAGCGTGAAGAAATTGTAGGTAAGGTGCAGATTTTCAAGGAAATTGCTTGGCCAAGTAACTGGTAGGAAGTTCAGGGTTAAGCATCTCAACAATGGTTCCTATTGAGGAGAGAAACGAGGAACGAGGAATGTTTGTTCTTTAATGAGGAAACGTTAACAGTGGCCACAATGATCTGGACTTCTGCTGATTTATGCCAACGCTAGAAAATAATAACCAGTGCACCTCCTTAGTACTGGGTCAGCATGCATACAAGGAAGGATGACTCATGTTTCCATGTTGTGATGGGATCCTTGTCAATCATTACAGAATCAGCATAGTAAACGGAGCAGCATATATATCCTTCATGACGGGTCTGCAAAAGCCAAACCCAAGAGGCACATCAGCTTCTCCTGCGTTTGACCTAACAGACTTGACCATGGCAGTGGTGCCGATGGACAGACAGTACTTGGTTGCAAGGCCGCTGTACTCAGAGGATTCCTTTTCAGGACAGTATGGGAAGGTCTACAGGCACCACAAGGGTCTTCTGGATCATTTTAGAGATTATTTTTTCACGTAAGAACTAAGTGCTGGTTCCATCCTACTGCTACCAATCAAAATGAATATGGAAAAAATGAAAAGTAGCTTAAATACTGTGTCACTTTACAAAAACATATTTTTTTTTCCTGCTGTGGCAATGTTTATTTTCATCATTTTGAAAATGATTAGAGGTATTGCTATTGTTTTTGACTACATGAGTCATTTTCAGGTGGTTTAGTTATCAATTAATCAGTGCATGACAATTCGAGAAATCAAGTACCTCCATGCAATGCATGATATGTTGTGTGTTCTTTGTGGCCAATAAGAAAATGCCCAATAAGTCCAATAAGGAAAATGCTAATTTATATATACAATTTTGGTAAGAAATGGTGCAAAGAATATTAATCTGTGTTTTGTGTTTTATCTTAGTTGTGATTCTAAACGTGTAAAGAATGCAGCCCTGTCTTTGCTGCCTGTCATCGGATGGATGAAAATATACAGATTCAGGGAATGGCTGTTCAGCGATGTAGTGTCTGGAATCAGCACTGGACTTGTAGCTGTACTGCAAGGTAGGGTTTTCCTCATCTTCTGATTGACTTAACTGTCAGATGACCTCAGAATTGAATTTAGGTTAGTGGAGCTATTGAAGCAACACTTGTCTTTATAACGCCAGGAAACGACTGTTGTGTATTTCATTCCGCTGCCATAAACTATAAAGGTATAAGAGCTTAAGGAAAGGAGATTGCTGTTGTCGGAACAAAACCTTGTATCTCCAAAATGGTGACTTTACAGGAGAAGGAAAAACTCTTCTTTACTTTTAATGTAAATCAATGGAACCAGACTTTTTTACCCAAGTCATTTTGGGCCATTTCTTTTGGTCCATTCATCATGAAGTTTACAGACAAGGTAGAGAAATTATGCCAAATACTGAAAAACAACAAAAATGAGGTATGAGATATGAGGTTTTGTTCCAACAGCAGCGATATGTCTGGAAAGAAATCTGTCAAAGCTACTTCTTCCTCCAGTGCAAAAGTGTGAGAAGAAACTCTCTCACTTTTCTATCTAGAAAACCTCTAGATATTACTATTAATATTGTTCTAATGTCTCAACAGGACTTGCATTCGCCTTGCTGGCTAACTTACCTCCAGGGTATGGACTGTACTCTGCATTCTTCCCTGCATTGATCTACTTCTTCTTGGGCACGTCTAGACACCTCTCTGTAGGTGCGCAATACCTGATGTTTGTCTAGGAAACCAAACTCACTTTCAAATGATCAATTCCATGATGTGCAGTGTTAGAAAATCTTTGGTGGCAAACGATCATCAAACTGGTGCTATAGCAAAAAACAGACCCACAGGAAGCAAAGCAGGATGCTTATCAGCACGGGGTCTCCTAAGGATGTCTGGTTCACTTGCATCTAACTGCTTCAAATAAAACCCTTGATAACCCTTCATCCTTAATATTAAAGCTCTGATGCTGCAAACTTCACAGACTTGTTTCCAATATAGCAGCTAGATCTTATTCAAAGGCTCATTGTTGTGACTGTGTGTAAAGTGGACAACTGACTAATGTGGACAGCCAATCTGAGTGTTACTGACAAAATGCCAATAGTTGTTCAGCCCTAAATTTTAAAATAAAAACAAAATATCAATAAAAAATATGTATGTTAAAATTAGCAAATGCAAGATTTCAGCTTTTACTAAATTCATAGCTTTTCCCATTTCATTTCAATGGGCAGAGCAATTTTGACTAACACGAATTAAACCTCAACATGTGCTGATTCAGTTTTCACATTTTTTTCACTATGTTTTTAACTTGATTTCTTACTAGTGCAGACTGCAATGTTGCATGTGCAAATCTCATCTAGGAATAGAAAGCTTTTTGTGTAGGAACTGAATTCAGTTTTTACTCCTATAAAAGAAGAAGCTTCTGAAATAATGTGTTT